ACATCCTTTTTCGGAGGGGAAGGGTGTTACGAACCTGGACAGTTCGTCTTCTTTTTCATTCACATGTCAATGCACGTGATAATTTCTCTTTTTAATACTTCTCCTTGTCTTCTCATTCACATTCCAGGCATATAGTTCTTTATTCGTATATTTAGTTAGACCATGGTCCATTATTTTTCTCTTTGTTTTCTTCTGATTTTTTATATACAAATCGCCAGATAGAATGACAGATATATTTTTCTCTCTTTATGACGTGGCATAGACTTCTAGCTTTTTCTCTTGTTATACTATATATTGTCCGTATACAGTCATATCACTTAGTTCAATTCAGTGTGTGCTTATGTGTGTGTGTGTGAGCGTGTGACAGTCATTTTTATTATATTCATTTTCAACCACTTGTTGCACAATAAATTTTACACACTGGCACTCATTTCATTTTATTTGTCAACCAGAGCTTAGGACCCGGGGATAGAGAGAGTATTCTTCACTTTAGCATTGCCTGGTATATGACATTTCTAATTTTAATATAGAACATAAAGACTTAATTTGTGTGGCTGTCATTTTCTTTATATCAGATGAAAGTTGTTGTAAGATTAATAATCCATCTTGTTCATTGTCATTACTTGCGGATGTTGATGAAAATGGTAAAGAATTTGTAAGATAAGATGAATTTTTGTCTGTGCGATGTTGATGATCACTTAAAGTTCGTCGTTTTGCCCGGTACAGAAAATTGTTGTTGTCGTTATCATCATCGTCACGATGTAATGGTGTATTTGCGATATTCAATATATTATCTAATAATGTTATCCTTGTAGTTTTGGAGTAGTTATTGCTTCAGGTTGGTTTGGAGATTTCTTTATTGTTGACTCAATCAGAGTTGTTGTTTTAGTTCTTTCTAATCGACGTTTAAGGCTTGAAGAAGGTACACTTGGTTCCTTAAATATTATGGTTTGATGAGAGGATGGAGCTGCTTAACAAATGGAAAAAAATAAGTATAACTAACTACAAAGCATTAAACATGCTTACACACTGCCGAATCAGATAAAAATAATTTAGATAAAGTTTCACCTGTAGTACTAGCTTTTTGTGTTGCATATACAATACTGTTTGCATTTTGACTAGCTAAAACAACAGAAGTTATCTGATAACTGAAAGACTTCTCAAATGTTATGAACCTTGAAAAACATTGGAATGCTGACTTTGTTTTCGTTTTTGTTCTAAAAAAATTAAATTTAAACGCTAAAATTCTTTTACTTTTCAGATATTATAGGTTTGACTTACGGGTATGGTGATCTGTGCAAGATATATCGTTGGGTTGGTAATCACTGTTAATTTCAAAATTTAGTGGTTTTGACATTGTTTTTGCTACTTCTTCCAACTCTTTCGATGTTCCTAGAAGACAAAAGTCGATATTTTTCTACAGAAAGTAAACTTAGGCTCACAAATGAGCTTTTAAAAAGAGAAGAAAATGGTTCGTTAGAGAACAGAACTTTCTACACAAGAAAAAAACGAAAAACAGAAAACTTTGCTGAGAAAGAGGACACATTTAAGAGAAAAAGAGTGTCATAAACAACGCGACCGTACATATAACAACGAGTTTCAAATATCCACCTGCTTGAAAAATAAATCCTGTATAAACTTTACCACCGGTATGAACATGAATAAGACCATGATCAGTTCGTGTACACTGCTTGTCTTTAACGATTGAAAATGAATTATCTTGAGTAAAAATTACAAAGTGTTGTTGCTCTAATTCTAATATTGACTGGCTTGATGTTGAATGTTATTTGGCATAGGGATTACCGCTGGCATTCGATGCCATTTTAAGATAAGATATCTGCGAAGAAAATAAATGTATGGTTAACGTTTTTAAGTAAAAAGCAAACAAATCAAATAAATAACCAGTATCTTAAAAACGACGAATTTGTCTTGTGATAGCAGCAAAAAGAAGGCACAAGTAAAGCTCACAAATAACTATATCAATAACAAGAATAAAAAGCTTCTTCAATCGTGCTCAAAATCAACACGATCTTCCGATATACAAAAAGTATCTTCAAATTGTGTACGAATACATTTGTGTTTAATTTTATTAACTGAAATGATAGAATAATTATTTGTTAATCTAGAGGATATAAATCATTCAACGTATTATTAATTTCATTTGGAATTGTAACGTATTGTGATAATAGCTTTAGTGTACACTGATATAATTGCACAATAACGAAATATTATTCATGATACGATAAAAACAGAATAACCTTCTCATAATCAGTTTTTTGTTGGTCAGACTAAAACGAAATTATATAACTGGTACAACTAAATCGCTGATCGTATATAATTGAATGGTAAGTAATAAAATACTTTTTATAACGTGTAAACAATTTAGTTTTTTGCTGTTGCTGTTTGTCCACGAGAAGATTTACCAATACTTGTCTGAATGGATCGATAGATGTATGTAGAAGGTCAATTTGATTAAGGCCAGTTGTTGTTCGTAGTTCAATTTTATTTGGATGCATCATACAAGTCCGATTTGTTCAACATACAATCTGTGTAGCTGATGAAAATAAAACAATGACAGTTTTGGCGTCATATAAGAATAAGATTAGAGAACTACTCCTTTATTCCGTAATATTAAGTTAAACCAGTTTCTGACAATCTCTGAGGGAATAACGGTGTAGTATCTATACTATACAATGGCAGGACCCCATCAGATACAATCGCACATTAAAGTAACAGTTGATGGAAAATAGTATGCACTGACTTACCTAAGTTTTTACTTCTATGAGCTTTCTTTTTAATAAATCTAATGCACGATTCAAGGGCAAATGCTGATGTAAACGCGAAGCCGTTATGTGCTCGTACTTGTTCGGCTAAATGTAAATGGGCATACAATGAAAGTATTTCAATTGATTCATCATCATAAATTATTCCTACTTGTTCACAGTAACGATTTAATAATAATTCACCAAGTTCAATTTCATCTGTCGATCGAGGACAATGTAATAGTTTAATAGCCACCGTATATGGAACAAAATGAGTAGACATTGATTCTGATAAATATTGAATCATTAATGGTATACTAAGATGTAAAACAAATAGACGACCATGTTTGGCCTTCCAGTCATTTGCTTTATTAGTTGAATCCAATATTTTGAATGGTGCTCCAACGAGAAAAATGTTATGTAGGTTTTATAGAGAATTCAATTCTCTACCGATTGAGCTTAGAACATACTCTTAGGACTACTGGGCAGTGCCTCGAAAACAACGAATGAAAGTATCCGATTTTATTTGGGCCACCCGATACAGAGTTCGAATTCTCACAGGAACTTCTTTTTCGTTTTTCTTTTCTTTCCTTCAGTTTCTTCATTCTATATATATATATATATATACATGTATACCCGCTGCAGCTAGTACTGAAATGGGTTAGCGGGTTTGTCCCGCTACAGCTAGCTATACCTTCTAAATTTTACTCTTTTAGCTAGTTGCGGTCAATAGAGCAGCGCCTTCTTCAGAAAGAGCAGCCAGCTTATTTTTAATGAAATTTCATGCTTGGGTAGCCACATGATATAGAACTAACATTTCTTGCCACATGTACTGTGAAATGAGCTTATCCAATTCGCCTTTGATCGAGCGGCATGTATTTTTAAAAAGCTTATAACTGCTGAACGAAACATTTGTTTGAGTGCCACTCACAAGTTATTCCTATCTAGACTAGATAAAGATACTGGCTGAGTTCCATAAAAACCTGTAATAGCCATTGAACATCGATCTGATGTAATCTATTGTTTCTCCTGCAATGACTCTTAAGACTTAAATATATCTACTATATCGTAGTCTGACCTTTTGACCTGCTGAAATAAGGGAAAGACGTGATAATTCAACTGACATTATAAAAAATGATAAAACATCATTGCAGAATGAAAGTGTTGACGATGTTTAAGAGTTGCCAGTTCCAGTTGTTTGCAGCATTCAATAACGAGTTTAATCTATTCAACTGTTCACTATGAAGTGAAATAGGCAAGCTTGTGGTTCATCTTCAGAAAATTAAGAATGGCTTCAAATACGACAAAAAGGATGGAATTAGAAAGTCTTATTACATGTTGGGTTTGTTCGGATATCTTTGAGGATCCTCGATTATTACCATGTTCTCATACGTTTTGCTATGATAGTATCAATCAAACGGCTGACAGGAGCACTGATTTTACGTGTCCTTTTAAAGACTGTACTACAATTATTACAGATATCAATTCATTACCAATTAGTATCACAACAATGGAGACTGTTGAACGCATAACAAAACTGTTTCCAAATCTCGGACAAAAAAGCCATCAACAGTGTGATAATTGTCCAGACGACATAGCTGAATATTGGTGTGAGCCATGTTTCGGTACTTGGTACTTTAATGAATTGGTACCAATTCATTAAACTGTTTTTCAACGATACATTCTCTGTCATGATCAGTCAAGAAACTCGTTTCTTTGTCCACTGACTATTAGATGATAAGTTATGTACGTAACTGTATACTAAGTTCCTTGTTAAAGCTTTAGTAAAACAGGTATGAAAGAAAGTTTGATGAATACTAATAGTACTCGAGTTGCTTTATCCTCTACGACTTAGAGAGTCTGAATTTAATACCATCTTTATAGAGAAAAAAAGGATTCTAAATAAGGGTAACTTATACGTGTATGTATGGCTGGAAATACTGGATTGTGCTTCACTTTCATCCATTCACTCATTTCACACTGTTTGGATCGCAATAAACGCCAGAATAAAATGTTTTGGTAATCCTCTGGATATTCTTCAGACGTAGGAATCACCAGAACGCTCTAGATATCTCCAGGAACCGGGTCTTACACTTATTCGTCTTTCTACACAGAGGAAAATTTCGACATCGGCAGAACATGCAAAAGTTCGTGAATATCCATAAGCATGTGAAACCAGTTATTTCTCCGTAGTCGATTACCTATTCTATATCATTTCGATCCAATAAAGTTCACGAGAACTCGTCGGCCAATAGGATCGCAGCTAGAAGCCAGTAAGAGATTCTGAGGGGCCGAATATCATGTTCCTTCTACATTTTACTTCAAATTGCATGTAAAAGTCCGAGAAAGACCAAGAATTTTCTGGAACCCTCTGAAAATCGAAGATTATGCCTATCCTTTATATTGATTTGAACTGTAGCTAAAAATCGGCAGAAAACCAAATATTTTTCAAAAGATCTCCTGAAGCCTCCTGTAGTACCATTAGATTCTCCGTGTTAGATTATCCACAGTTCACACATTTCAGCCATCTACATCGTATCTTTCAAGAGTTATTACATTGCTGGTTTGTCCCTGTGGCCATACAAACATTTTCTACCCTAATTAACGTCAAGGGAATATTTATATAAGAAAATATTAATTTTTTCATGGATCATCATAGCATTATGTTTCCAGTTAAATTTTGACCGAATAAACTCTGGTCAAACTTTAAATTTGAAGTTTGTCCGCAATATATGTATAATCATGTTATAAGAAAGAATAAAATACAGTACAATTGAACATCATTGGTGATCTTCGAGAATTTTTCTTATCCTTTTCACATTTGTCTATATAAATGATCAGCAAATAAAATTTCGTATAACGTAATGGAAAACAGTGACTGTTTTTTGTATGTGAACCAGATAGACTTTTAAAATTGAGATCAAATCTTCAATAAAGCACAATGCATTTACAAACAAAATGAGCCTAATATTTGAAATCAACATCAAATTCTGCATTGAATGCTGTGTTTTCTAAAAATATTTGAGCTTAAAGTAACTTTTTGAGATATCTTAAGGACGTTTAGTTAGATTATTTAGAAGTGCCAGTGGATATTTCAGAATTTTATATCATACTTCTGCTAATTTAAATGTGAGAAGTATAAACTAGAGTTGATCGATGTTGGTCTTTCTACTAGAATTCTCAAAATTAGGAAATTCAGTCAACAATTTGATTTATTCTGGTCTTTGTGGTTTAGGCGGAAATAAAATTAAGTTTGGATTTTCTAATATTTGCACAAGATTATAATTCTTGATTCGCTACGTATATTTTCTTTGATAAAACTTGAAAAACTGTAAAAAGAAAGAATAAGGTAACTGTTCATGTAATCGTTACCAGCATAAATGCGAAGCGGTTTTTGTAGAGCTCATCAAGCTGACCTTAGCTGCACAAATCACAAGTCTATAGCTGTTGCAGAAAAAAGTTATTGTCGTTTTACCATCTCAGCAAACGTAGTGAAATTTTCATTTTCGCAACTGTTTTGATTCATTGTGTGAAGCCCGCACTGCGTCTCATCCCACTCGAAAATTGACGCGAATGGTTTCAAATGAAAGAATATTGCAAATACTATGTATGCAGAGAGAAACAAATTTGGCCCTTGCAAGAGTTTTGAGATTAAGGACGTTGAAGATCCAAGCTGTCCAGAAAACCTTTGGAAGTCAAACATTATCCAAAAAGTTGTCTAACCATATGATTGGATAGAGCCTGTAATTTTGAACAAAATGAGATATTTTTCCAAATTTTACGACTTAGGATGACTGACCTAGGGGTGTTACAAAACGTGCATGTGTGAAACTCCTGTTTTCAGTTTCTAACCGGATGACGGCTAAAACCCGTAACTGTCACCCTCAGCTGCAGTGGGTTGAACCATATTTTTTCTCTCAATCAGCCTTAAAAGCACATCATTAGACGCAGTTTTTTGCGCTGATTACGAATATCAACTTTAAAACGAATGAAACTCGAATTTTTAAGTCGAAAATTCAAATTTAAAATTTAGAAGTTTTTTTATTTCAATTTTCTGACCCACTTAGCTTTTTTAAAAAGTTTCAGAAAGTATATCAGTGGATAAAGAATTAACCGTTGTTTTTGCTTAGTTGGATAGATGGCACTCGATTGCATAAGGCTCTGTGCAGATCAAGTTTACAGAAGTCTTTTTTTACCGGTAGGAATATAACGATAAAACCCACCGCCGAAGAAAGCAAAAAAATGATGTAAGTCCGTCACGACATGTAATTTCCGTCACGGAATCATTTCGCTTGTTTCTTTTCATTTAAGCATTTTTGAGTGAAAGTAAAGAGATGATTCAAAAACTCTTTTCATGCTCTACAACTTTTATATTAGGCTTTTTTCTGAATATGTTTCGTTTTAGAGCATTTTTCAAAGTTTGTAGAGCACTAGAAAAAAAGGTTAAAAAATGTAATTCCGTCACGACACCTATTTTGCTCATAAAAATCGTTCTACTTAACCAACGCATTCGAAATTTTTACCACAAACCAAGCATTCTACCGCACATCTCTGATAAAAATTTCGTCATCTTTTGTTCAGTATTTGAGGAGAAACAGAGCCCAAAAGTTGAAAAAATGTAATTCCGTCACGCGCGTGTAAGCCGATGAATACCCTGTTGTATATTTAAAGAAACAACGAACTATCGATATGAGATCAGACATACTCCAAGTTGATTTAATTTTGGTGTCAATCACTCTTTTCATGCTAAAAACTGTCTTAAGAACTAAGCTTAAGCTAGATTCAGAAAAATGTTTTTTGCTTGGGTATACGTTCTGATGCACATGTCATTTAATAAGTTTTGAGAGCAAATAAGAACAAAAGTGACTGACCTTGGCCACTTTAAACAGATGCAGCTGCGATTCAATTGTACATACTTGAATGGAATCCAAGCGACACCACTGTTTGCTGTCAACTTAACCATGCCTTGCGATCGAAAGAGCGAGCAAAACTATTGTCACCACAGTATCTGTATTTAAAAGTGCTTATGACTGCTTTAATTTAAGCTAGAATCTTTTGAGACGACTTTGTGGCTGTAATAAAAGGTCATGTGAGCGAAGAATATTGAGGAGGGAAGAAAATTGGTAGGGCTTTAGTTCATACACAGTCCATCAAAACCTTGGAAAATATGATGGCAGAACAGTATTTTGTATTTAATGCTTGCATAGTGAATCAATTCAGAACTACTCTTACTACATTATTATAATATAATATAATACATTATTCTTACATGTCTAGCGTTTTTGACTTGTGGGGCTATCGTCTTTGAACCCACGGGACCCGACGACAAGTTTGAAACATTTGTCAAATATGGCATTCGATGCAGTTTTTCTCGTAGATCAAGATTCTGGCGTTTGTTTCGAAGCTTAATGTCGAAAAAGTGATAAAATGTTTGAAATACTATCCGAAAATTTTCTGTAACCTCAATAAGGGTTGAAAAAATCTGGAAAGTTGGTGAAAATCGTTATTTTTGCAAAAGCACCCTTCAACTTTTCTTGATTCCTATTTAATGTAATGCTTGATGTATAAATTTTGAGATCCAAAAGCATTCAAACCCGCAATTTCTCAGCTCTTTTAGAAAATCAGACAGAGCTTAATTTAGAAAACTTGTGGACTTCATTTCGTGGAGTTTTTTTCCGGATACAAAAGAAAAAGCATGCCATTTCGTTCACAACTTCATGCCTACTGCTAGCACAACTAAATCGTCAAAGCTAATAACAATCGTAACAGTACATATCCACATTCATGTCATTTTGTGCATTGTGAAGTCACTTTAACGACGATGCCAATACAACAACAGAAAAGCAAAAGGCTGTTATTCTTTCTCTCTTGCGAAAAAGTGGTGCGAGAATGTTTGATAAATACTCCTAAATGCGCGTGTGATTTGCATACTGAAGTTGCACACTATTTTGGACTGAATTGACATATTGAAAATAGCTAGATCTATGTGTTGTTTG